TTGTCAATTTCATAATGTTGTCAACCTCTCCATAAGTCTAAAAAAGTGTGGTTGTTCTGGAACACTCTTTGACAAATAAAATGCCATCGGAATCAGAACCGAAGCACAATGTTGTGGAATAAATTGGGAGCGTTGAGAGATTGGGAACACGTTTCTGTGGGTGCCCCCCCCCCCCTCTTTTCGAACGTCCTGCTCTCCTTGGCGCTGTGGGGGCTGTGGGGTGGGGCAAAGAAAAACGAAGTAGGAGAAGTGGAGAGCATTCACGGAATTCATTATTTCTTTTTCCACGTTAGTTTTGTCGGATTGGCCTCCAGACGCGCGGTGGTTGGGGGGTTGTGGGGGTGGGGGTATCTCCGCCTCGGCGTTGCATTCAGATGCAAATTACCTCATTTGTTGAGGACGGGCGAGTGTCAGGCTCCGTCCCCGCCCCCTGCCCGCCACCCAGCTCTCGCGTAGGCTCGGCGGTAGACAGCAGACGACGCCCCCCTCCGCCACGACACGGCCCTGCCTCGGCCATGCCGTGGGATTCCGCGGGCAGCTATCCCCCCTCCTCCCTCCCCCCTAGGGGGCTCTCACTGCCGTCGCTCCCGGATCAGACTTAATTGTGACTTATTTTACGCGTGGAATAAGTGCGGCCTCGGTTTCGGCGAGGTGCCTCCCCCCAGCGCCGCCGTGTCGGCCACGTAGTCACACTGCCTAAGTCTTAGTGCTCCTGGCCAGGGCCGAGGCCGTCGGGTTTGGGTCGGGCAGCTCGTGGGCGTCGCGCCGCACGTCCCGGACATACCAATGAGGCCGGGCGGGGCGGGCAGACGCGGCACGCCTCCTCCCCGAGCTCCTTCCCCTGCCGCCGCGGTCCCTCGCTCCAGCTTTGATCCAGACCCCGCCTCGGGGTGCGACTACTAGCAGCAGCGGTGGCCGAGCTCCGCGCCCCGCACCACCGCACCGCCCGACAGATGTACGGGGCAAGAAGCGATCGCGGGGGAACCGGCGGGGGACCAGCAAGGACTGTGAGCCGCGCCCACAAGCAGGAAGTAGTCTCGCTGTCTCTCTCCCCGCCCCCTCGCTCGCTCTCCCTCTCTCTAGCTCTTTTGTTTCCAGAAGCAATATTTTTCTAAGGTTTCCTTCGGATGGCGGCGCTGCTGCTGCTGCTGCTACTGTGGTGCGCGCCGACGACGCGGCCGTCTCGTCGCAACTGTCGCACGGTGCGCTCGCACACACACACACGCACGCACTCGCGTCGTTTGCATGTCGACTATTTGCAGAGTCAACATGTTTGAGGCTCCCCTGCTATGCGGATGTGCCGTCCTGTCTTCGTCGTGCGTCCTGCAGGCCGATCAAGGGCCCTCCAGCCCTCCAGTCGTCGGCCGCCCTCGATCGCTCCAGCCTAGTGCTGTTGGGCGCTGGGGGGGATTGGGAAGGGAAGGGGGGGGGCGGTAGCAGGCCTGTCTACCCCCCTAACAGTGCAGCCAGCGCGCTAGTGCCTCTCCAAGAGGGACGCTGCAACTAGCCACAGACTATCGGAGAATTGGCCTGGGCTGCGTCCGAGAGGGCGGCGGCGGCATTGCATGCCGAGGTGCTGGCTGCTGCTGCTGCTGCCGCTGCTTGGCGGGGAAATACAGAGAGAGAGAAAGAGTGAGAGAGAGGCAGATGATTGTGTAGAGTGTTCCTCGGACGTGGCCGCCGCGCTACACCCTTAACCACGGAGGCCAGCGCTGCATGCCGGGAACAAGCGGCGAGGGGATTCCTGCACAACTACATACACTGCGGCTCTCTACTACTAACCCCCCCCCCCCCCCACCTCCCCCTTCCCTTTTCGACCTCCTCTCTTCGTCTCCCCAAAACTCACATCTACGTGAGGGCCGTTCTGTGTTGTATGCATGTGTGTGTTGTGGTGGTGGTGGGGGGGATTTTCACGACGCGAAGCTCGCGGTGTCTTGTCGCGGAGAGACGACGCCCATTTGGGATGGAGAGCGCGCGGCTCTAAGCGGGAGTGCTTGTTAAGTTTAACAGGGGCCCCCGCCCCGCCGCCCCGCCCCCCTCGGGTAGGTATGGCAGGGCGTGGCGGACTTGATGGTGGGGTGGCTCGCCGGGCTCGTCTTCCCCGGGCACAGCGCCCCCGTTTGGGGTAACGGCCGCCGCGGGGCTGCTCACCGCCGGGCCGCCGCCGCCGACGCCGACGTCGCAGGAGGACGACCTGCGCCGCTCGTGACAGCGACAATTAATTACGTTTCCGTTTAAACTTCCCTCCCTTTCCCACGCCTCCCGCGTTCCTCCTCTCTCGGCCCAGCTGGCAGGTTCCGGTTCCTCCTGGTGGCGTTCATTGGCGGGGTTGGGTCGGGCGCGGGTCGAGCCACAGGGTGGCCGTCCCAACAAGCTCATGTCACACGCCCAAAGGGTCAGTGTCGGTGAATGCCGTAGGAAGGTACTCTAGCCGATATGGTGCTTCAAAGGGAAAAAGTTTCGCAACGACGACGCAGTTTCCCTTTTTTTATTTCTTTTTTCTTCGATCGACCGTAGCGAAGCACTTTACTTTGTTGTCCGTATCGTTTATGGGTGCGGGACTTCCCTCTCGTGGCGGGGCGGTGGTCGGGCTCCACCGGCCGCTATAGCTCTGTCAGCTTGATGACGGTCTCCTGCTCGCGCGGCGTGTCCGTGTGTCACTCGGAGAGCTACGGCTTATATGGGTCGTACAGAAAGTACGCCCGCTTTCCCCTCAGAGTCCACCCAGCAAGTTACGGGAGCGGGGCGCCTGCGAGACTCCGGGTAGGCTACCCCGCTGTACACGCATGCACTGCAGGCGAGATGTTGCCTACCTATAAGGCGTTATGGGAGCTTACACAAGCTGAACTGTACGTAACGGCAAACGACGGGCGTACTTTCCGAATGACCCTTACCACGGTTAGATGTCAGGTTGGTACCACTGTCGATCGTCACTTGGGGGTTGACCATACCTATCAAATGTTACAAATAAAGAGACCTGCATTCTGTCTGAATCAACGGGAATTCGGCCGAATTGAATTTACGCTGAGGGAGGAATGTTGTCGTTGACTGGAAGTAATTAATTACAAAGTCGAAATTATGTCGGTCCCCGATTAGCGGAATTTCCGTTGGTTCAAAGGTGACCAACCTTTTCTGGGTGCGGGGTCCCCGCACGCTGCGCTACTCACCCGTCGCATGACGCGCAGCGAGAAGGACGACGTCTTCATGGCGGAGGAAATGTTGTTGGCGTGACGGGCGGAGCTGGTGGTGAGGCGCGGCCTCCCGGCGCTCGCAGGCGCAGCAGCAGCAGACCTCGGCCGCCGCCGCCGCCGCTGGCCGTCGTACCTGTTGCAGCAGGACAGTCACTAAACTGGGCCGCGGGTATACGGCTCCCAGACTGTGCCACTTGTTCAGTCTCCAGCACCCCCCAGCCCAGCCCCGGGGGTGGTGTACCCTCTAGTACCCTCTAGAGGTGCCACATGCGTGCCACCCGTATGACGGCCGCTATCGCCCGCCCTGCCCCGCCCCGCCCCGCCCCGCCAGGGTGATGGATCGTGCGGACCGACACCTCTGCATCGCCCCGCCCGGCCCGTCCGGCCGCTGTACTGCGGCTGCTGACGCCAAAACTACTTGCAAACTTTTTTCTCCCTCCCACTCGCCAGAGTAACGCACCGAATGTTTTTAAAAAAGATCTCAACGAAACCACTCCGATGCCACGCACATCAGGAGGACGTCAGAAAACGGTCAAAACGTGATTTTAACACGTGTTGAGCCCCTCATGAACACAATGTGGTCTTGCTGTTTCGCTTGAAAACAGCGCCGTGGCACTCATAACGTGGTCCGGAATGTGTTCATTTTGACCCATAAGCTGCCAGCAGCAGCAGCCTGTCGTGTGAACCCCACCCTCCCTCTCCTCTAAACGGAAATAAACGGAAGAGGCGTGCAGTCAATGAGTGCGTAGCGTGTCTCAATCTTTTTAGAAGGGCATTGCAAGTACACCCGTAAATAAGACTGGTAAATAAGCTAGCGACAATAAATTGAGCAATGCTCTAGCCCTGCGGATGGGCTTTATTATCATTACTTTTATTATTTTTACGCGACACCTGCTCTTCTTCCCAAGCCCCTTATGAGTACGTGCTGTACTGTGCTGCCCGTACCGTGCGCGGTGGTGAGCGCTGCTGCTCGCGCCGCGGGTGGTCGCGCGGTGCGCGGTGGTCGCCGGGCTGCTCGCCGGGTTGCTCGCCGACGTGCTCGCCTCGCGCGCTTGGGCGGTGCTCGCGGCGCGGCGCGTGGGTCCCGACTGGAGGAGGCGGGATAGGGAAGGCCAGCCCGGGGGTCGGCCGCCGAGCAGCAGAGCCGGGCAGCGCCACGGGGGGCGGGGCGGGGCGCAGCGGAGGGAAAGGCTGTTGCTGGGGCTGCCGCTGCCAGCCCCCGCCACGCCACGCCCCGCCGCGCTCAACCGGTGTCTGCCGCAATGTCCCCCAGGCCTCCTGGCCCCTCATCATCCCTATGCGCCCCATCAGGCTCCCTCCGCACTCCACACACGCATGCACGCTCCGGGACGGGAAGTGCGGCGGCTGCCTAAAGTTGCCCGCAGAGAAAGTTTGCTCAAAAGTTAGCCAGAAAAAATCTGCACGCGAAAGTTTCCCCGGAAAGGTTGTGTCCAAGTCCAGGACTTCTTTACCGCTCGGTGACGCCGCCGCGCGCTCGTCTCGCGCTGCTCTCCCTTGGGTCTCAGCTCCATCACCACACGGCCATCGCCTGGAGGCAGGCCACCCATCCGACATGTGTGGCACTGCGGTAGTGGCGGCGGCGGCGGCGAGAGTGTGTGTTGTGTGTGTGACAGACATAGGGAGGGAGAGAGGGAGGGAGTGAGGGAGGGACGAAGGGAGGGAGGGAGAGAGAGAGGGAGGGCGAGGGGGGAGGGAGTAAACTATCTGGGACGAGCGTGTCGTCGAACGAACGTGTATATTTGTACAGGTGGCTGACCCATCTCCCCCCCGTCCAGTTCCGTTGTTAGACTGTACTGCAACGCACGCGTGCGGGAGGGTTGCCTACTCTCGGCGCGTCAGGCGGCGTGGGCTGGGACGACGCAGGCAAACAACCCGCCAGTGCCCGTGTATGCGGCGCGGTGCCATTCGCGAATGTTGACGTGACTCGACCTGGTATGTTTCGTGTATGGATATCGAAAGATTGATTCTCATCTCACAAAGCCGCAAAACAACCTCTGGTGATAATCACGAGAACGTCAGCGCAAAAGTTTGCCTCAGGTTCAGTAAGTACTGTACGTATGCTGGAGTGGATCTAGGCGGACGGGTCTTAGTCTTCATAAGAAGTGAGGAGGAGGGTGACGCCATTTGCCTACTTACACGTACAAAATACCATCATTTCCCTGCTTATTTAGGAGTCCCCTCCCCCCCCCCCACTGTCGATCGTCACTTGGGGGTTGACCATACCTATCAAATGTTACAAATAAAGAGACCTGCATTCTGTCTGAATCAACGGGAATTCGGCCGAATTGAATTTACGCTGAGGAAT